ATTCTTCTGGATGACAGCACATGAGAAGAGAAGAATAATCCCTTAGGAGAGAGGGGAGAATAAAAGAAAAATATGAGAGAAAAGGAGGAAAGCAGAGCTAGTGAAAGACTGAGATCATAAATTTAGTTGATTTTGTTGAGGGATCAATATTCACTGCAACACATCCAAAATCGTAATATTTATAGGTTACACTAATTTCATTTGACTTGAAAACCACGGTCCCAGTTAACATGGTCATTAGTTACAATTCATGGGATTTAATAGCCCAACAATATTGGCAGGTTCATAGGTTTATTTATTTTAGGTTGCTGTCTATTTGCCCATGGTGACTCAAGGTGGCTTACAGAATATAAAACCACATTTAAAACAATAAAACTAATACAAAGAATAATACAATACAATACAATATAATAGGGTTGTTATATTAAATATACAAAGGTTGTTAGGCATTGCATAGTTACATCCTAGATTAGTTCTACCAGAAAATTGTAGTGCTTTATGAGAAAAATAATAAAAATCCACTGTCCTATGTAATTTCTAAATATGGCCTTTTCCAATAGAATATTGAGAAGGCCTCTAATGTTGAAATATATTTCATTTGAAGCCTTTTATCTATTACATCTCCAATTTTATTAGAAATAAAAAGAGATGAGGAATTTATATAGACCCTTCCTGAAAGCACATGCAAATTTGTTGCATTATCTAACCTCTTCCTTTGAATAAGCTCTGCCAATGGCATGGCTAAAGAAGGTTGCAGCCCAGGAATGCTAACTCTTCTCTGCAAGCAGTTCACAAAAAGATTAGACCTGTACCACATAGAAACTTTCCAACTATCTCTGTTGATATTAAAGGAGACTGTATATTTTCTTAATTGAAAAATGGGGTGGGATTGACTTTTTAGAATGTTTTTATGGTTCTGAAGAGTAACAGGATAGCTAATCTATTCCTAATAAGGACCTGTCCATAATATTCTCCCCTATTGTAAATTTAGGATTATGTTACTTTAGGGCTAGGCAACCTGCTGCTTTTCGCAATCCTTGCTGACAATCTTACAAGCCTTGTAACATGATGAAATATGAGTGTGTCAGATTAGCTTTTCTTAGCAGCAGTGTTGTGCACAGGTTATTGTTCAATCTATGGCTGTTACCAATGAAAGTAGTCCACCACCTAGCCATGGAATAAGAAATTGGCCCTCTGAATCCCATCCTATGCACTTCACCTTAGAACTAGCTCTTTTCAAGGAGTAGATTCATATACATAACTGAAAATGTAAGCAAGATTTAGCAGCCTCCCTTCTTTCCAAGGGCTTGAAATGGAACACTATTGTATGTTAGAGGGAGCCTTGATAAATAAAAGAAAGCTTCCACACAAGCTGGTGAGAGCTGGAGATCTAAACAAGGGAAGGGGTATATTTGACAATGGAAAGAAAATGGGAAAGAGATACTACTCTCAAATTGTAGAGATTTGTTTACCCAAGTTTACAGCGTTTAGTTTTGTTTAAATATTTATAGGTCTGTTTGTTCTGAATTTTTTTTAAAGATTTAAGCATACAAGCAGTGGAGTGGTTGCAATTCAGATAATATATGGTTTCTAAACTTCAGGATGGGGAAGACTTTTCAATCTAAAGGCTGTATTCCAGAGGTTGGGACCAGTTCACCAGTTTGTGGGCTGCATGGCTCTTACTTTCTTTCCCATTTTCACTCTCTTTTCTCTATTAATCCTTTTGTTCTTTGTCTCCTTATTTTTCCTTTTCCCTCCTCCAACTAGTAATTAAGCTTTAAAACCTTTCATTGGAACAGTGGAGATTAAAAAACTATGTTGCATATGAAGACAGTTATTTTAACCCAGAATTGGCACAGAAGCAAGGTGGATAGGGTTGAGAAAAGGCAGGTGTAGACCATATCTGATCGATAGACTGAAGTTTCCCCAGTCCTGCTTTAACACTTGGCAATATGAAAATGAAGAAATGTTGGTCATTTTTTCCAAAAGAATTCAGTTGGGAAACTTTCCTTCAAAGAGAACATTTGAACATTTTTTATACTTTGATTTCTTTGCCCATGCTATAGTAAGTTTATTTATTGCTATTTGTTTTTACAAAGTGTTTTCCGTTTTAGAGGAAAGCAAGGTGATTGGCTAAATATTTAGAATGATTGCTATTGTAGCGGGTTTGCTGGAAGGTAATTTATGATTTTTATGCCACATCATGTTAAACTATTATTGGGTATGTATTGCAAATTAATGTCACTTATTTGCTAAAACTATTTAAGTGCTTAAATAAAAAATAGCATGCATAATATTGCAGTAATAGAGATTCAGATTTTGAAGAAATATATGGGAAGAGTTAGCAATGCACTAAACTTCTACCTAGACATTTTATTTACATTCCTAAACCCTTCAGGAGGTATTATTTATGTCAATATTTCCAGTGATTTGCATATATATGACCTACCATTCTGAGCTTCAATCTTTTCTGCATTTTTCTTTTACATTTTTAAACAATAAAATAGTATTCTCCATTTGCTTTTTTCTCTGGCTTTAATTTATAGCTTGAGTATCTCTGGAGATAAAAAGATAGAAATACTTGTTCTAGGACTTTTTACACTGAATTTGCTCTATATATCATAATATTGCACATTGTTCTATAATTTACAGATATATTAATATTTAGTTTCTTCATTTAAATATATAGTTTCTTCACTGTAAATTCCAAGATGATTTACAACATAATCAAAACCAAAACCAACACCAACAATGTTAAGTAAGAAGCCAACTACAATTCTGATATAAAAAAATTAAACAAATCAACATTTGGGAGATTTTAAAGCAGTTTTCAGCTACTACACATACAAATGGTACCACTGTCTCCAAAGTATTGTGAGCAAAATTCAAAAGTAACATCAAGAAAGCAATGAGAAAAAGCTTTCTTTAGAAAATGTCAGAATATGGTAGTTTTGCTCAAAAAAGAAATGGAAGGAAAAATACTAATGAGTGCATAATGGCTATGCATTAAACATGGAAACAAGAACTATCTGGGTTTCTTGAATCATCTTTATTGCTAATAGAGTAATATAACAGAAACTTGAAAGTTTGCCAAAGTAATTTTCCCAGTTGAACTTATATTTAGCATAATTAAGGCAGAGTTTTTCTAAATCTCTCACATTTTCCCCCTCCTATAGTTTTAAGAACTCTCTTTTGTAATGGTCTTGCCTCTACTTTTGTGTTTTCAGTTTTATGCCTGGCCTTTCTATTTTGTTTGAACTCTAGGCTGTCTTGTACATGCTGTTTAGATTCATTGCTGTTGTGGAAAGATGAAAGACTCTGCATCAGAAAGGGAAATCAGAGACGGGCTTTTCCTGGTTTCAGAACAACCTTCCACAACAGGTCATGCTGCAGTAACTTCTCATAACTTCTCATAAACAACCATTCTTTCTCCTCTAATGTTTCTTATTCCAGTGAACTGTGATATCATGGCCTAGTCACTCATTCTTAAAGAAGAGGATTGGAGAAAACATCCCAATGAACAAGCTGTTTGTTTGGTCAGGGCCTCCCAATCATATGAATGCAAAAAGAAGCCTAATCATTCCTGCCATAGACATAACAGATTCTGAGTTGAGTCTGAAACCTCCTATTCTCAGCTCTGAAGAACATTGGAGTCTGAAGAGACAGCACCGAAAGACAAAGAGGTTTAGAGGTGTTTGGTTATGCTGTTAAGAATGACCTCAAGAAACCCAGGTTTGATCCAGTGATACATGCTTCTTAATCACTACATGTTAAACTTCTGCTCTGTGAAAAATATTGATTGCCTATATTTGTCTGAGTTCAATTTAAACTGCTGGTAGCTACCTATAAAGCCCTTCATAGAGCAAAAGTATTTGAGATATTGCCTTTTTCCAATTACATTTTCTTGTCCCATTAGAACTGGTAGAGGAATGCTCTTGGTCCCATATACTTAGGGAGTGCCATCTCAGTACCCAGGATAACGTTTCTTTCTGTCATGGTGCCTAACATTTGGAACATTATTCTCCTCTCCCCCAAATTTACATTGTCTCCGAACCTGCTGATCTTCCATAAGGTCTTAAAGATGTTTAAATTGATTTGTTTTTACCTCAGCTTTCAATTATGTACGCATTGTTTCTCTTATCTGTTATTTTATACAGTTTTTAACTGCTACTAGCTACTCAGTTATAAATTTCAAAAGGATGGCCACATGAATTGAAATAATCAGTAAACTAACAAATAAACCTGATCTCAGTGAAATCACTGGGACAGTTCCCATGTGTAAAAGCTGCCACAAAGCTCCCCAAATTGTTAGCTGGCAAGACTTTTTCTTTGAAAGCTTTCTGCCAGACAAATCTGTGAAATTTAAACTGAATTTTCAGTGCTGAGATAAACCCACTAGATTTATTACAAACCTTAAACTAAATATAAATGGTGCTCCTTGTAAGGCTAGGTCATCCAACTGATTCATCACTCCTTCTGTATTTTCTGCTTGCCATCAAGGATCTAGAATGTTTTTGGATTGGACAGAATGGGGCATGACCTTCTAAAATCCCAGAGCCCATTATTTTGACTCTTATAAAAAGCAAATAGAGACACACACCCATCAGTACTGTCATAGGGTGGGGATAAATTGCATTGTATTAAGATCAAATATGTAAATTCATACAGCTGACCAGTTATCAGCACAACCAGCAGCACCTTATTAATCATCTCATTACATCTCATGACTAAATTCCTCTGTTGGTCAGTATAACAGCCCCAGGATAGTCATTTATGACTGCTCAACCACCCACAGGACATTATTACACATTCACAGTATTGAGGAAAAATAAGATCCCTCTTCAAATGGGGAAAACACCAATCAAAATTCAGTGATGATCTTCAGAATATCCTTCCAATTTATTATGAGGTCAGTCATTATGAAATCAGCTTTGTTTGTTTTGGTGCCAGAGTGGATGTTTGGATCTTGGGTTCATTATTAGGGAAGACTTTGAGTATGGGGAAGATGGTATGCAGACTGAATCGGGTTACCAGTGGTACTTTGGAAGGTGATTTAGGCCAGTAGAAGAGAGAGGATTCAGTAGTGATGGAAACAGAGAGAGATGATCAGCTCTTTTTGAGATTACTTGGATGGCCATAATTTGGAGGCTAGTTGGGCAATTTTTCATGGCAAGGCAGCAGAGGAAACATGGAGTCCAATGGCCAGGTAAATAGCCTGGTAGAGCAAGACAGTGGCCTTTTTATTTCCTAAAGGAAAACAAATAAAGTTGAAGGTAACCAACATTATGTAGAACAGTTACTTCAATTTGCAAATGCTTTGAACCTCCAAAATAGGAGAGGTGCAGTTGGCTGCACACTATATTTTGTTTTTCAAGCAGTAAGTACATTGAGAACATGCATTTCAAGAATCTTAACAACTATTGAAGTTGAAGGCCAAAGGTGAAATCTGAAAAAACGCACCTATACCAGTGATTAATAAGAAACTGAAAAGTTGATATAAATTATAGCAAAAACACCTTTCCTTTCCAGTACCCGATGCTGAATTCACTTGTGGCTAATGCAGCCTCAGGGAAGACTTGGTGTGGAAGCCATATGGCACAGATTGACACAGAGAGATGGAAATTTTTTGTCATGGGCTGTTGTGTCTGTATAGCACCAATCCAACTATTTCAAATTGTGTGCCAGGATACCTGTGTAGCAGGCTGTCAGCTTTTAAAGATGTGTGTCTGAAGATAGTTTCTTTCTCCCTCTTTTTGACAATAAGTGATCCACAACTCTATTCTAGGCCAAGGATTTTTGCTTGTCAAAACAACAAATCAGTGCAGCCAAGCAAGTAGCAGATTGTACTGCCACTTCTTTGTCAGGTGCCATAGCTTTTCACAGATCTGCTTGGTTTGGCACAGCCTAGAATCCTGCAACTGCATTGAAAATGTTGCCCATGTAGCCTGCTCCCTTAGCGGCATTTCCTGATAGGCTGGCTGGTTAGTGCCTCTTCCCTGCAATTAGGGCAGGAAGGAGTCCTGGATGGGATTGCTGGGAAATGTAGTCCCCAGCAGGTAGAGAAAAATCAAAGTGCTGGAGAGAAGGACACATTAGAAGCTACTATGAGGAAAAGAGGCTGCAGTCCTTCAGAGAGAGGGGGGGGGAGGGAGGTTTAATGCTTTATATTTGCTTAATTTGATTTTTATATTAATAGCCATTATTTTTAGTTTTAAGCCTGTAAGGTGTGGCTGGGGCAGGTTGTACTGGTCCCCTGGGAAAAGGGTAGAAGGGCCTTATCAACATCAGCTCATGAGGGATTTAAGAGATGAATATTTCCATATTCTTGTTTATTACCTCCATGAAGAATTGTTCAGCTCGGTTGCAGGAATTCAGGCATTCCAGTTTAGGGGGGTCTTCTGGACTATTGATACCACTCAAAATGTTCACAAAATATATGGCGGTAGTCCAGCCCTTATCAGATTACAAGAGATTCAAGTGGATAACTGGCTCACAGACATTCATTTTAAGTATCAGCTAATCCACATATACCAATGTAATTATGCATAGCACACAGTGAAACTATGATTACTGGTAACATAGACAATTTTAAAATAAGACTAGGCAGACTTATAGAAGGTAGTAACTTTTAACATCGGAGACAGTACCATTTGCAAGGAAATAAGAACCGGAGAGTGTATGGTAACCTGGTCAGGAGTTTTGTCTTTGTCGTGATGGGAACAGAATGCTAAACTATATAAGACAGGCTTCCCTAACCAATATTCAGTCCTAGAAACCATTAGTTTGTTTAACTGTTGCTAATTCTAGGCATTGAGTTTCACATTGGAGGATTCTAAGTCTGATAAAGTTCATGTAGAACTTTGGACTGATCCTGCATGGGTCTTCTAATATTTTTATAAATCTATGGAAACTTGCTCATGGAAGTGAACGAGATAATTTGGCAAGTGAAATGCTGTGATTTAAAATGCTTTGTCCCTCTGTATTCTGCATCTCTGTCTCTGCTTTGAGCATTGCCACTGGCAAAGATCTTAATTAAAAAAGTTTATATTGGAGTAGATATTCTTCATGTATCCTATTTTCAAGCTCTGAGCCTTTGAAACAGATCCAAACAATAATCTGGAATTATATTTAGGAAGCAAATTGGTGGCCAATAAAGTTCTCTTTGTATTGGAAATATATATTCCATTTAATAGCTTTTCTGCTGTATTTGAACTAACGGTCTCCAAAGATAGATCATTTATAAAAATAAAAAGTAACCCAACTTGAACATTGTGGCAACAGCTCTTGTTTTAAGATGATAAAAATAATAGTAACAAAGAAGATATTGAACATCAATTTTTATATCGGATGCTTTGCAAATAATTTTGAAATGCACATTCAATATGCACATCCCAACTGTTTTTGTTTAGTATATAAATATTTCATTAGCTGCTTCTAAAGCAGATTTGAGGGGGGAAACAACACAACCAGCGATCTTAAGTTGTACACATGGTTCCTCACTCTTTTCTTTAGTGTAACAGAACAATAATCAGCTACTTCTTTTTAAAAAGTCTCTTAAAACTCTCCAGTGCTGCCACTTTTGTCCTGTTTCCCCCCTCCCTTTCCTCCATAATAGAAAGACTATTTTTTATTTCAAGTAAAAAAATTATTAACTTCTTTACCTAGAGGTGTTTTCTGAGAATAGTTTGAAACAAATTTGACTAATAATCTAATTCTTCCTTATCTAACTTGGGTATGCAAGTTAAGCAAATGCACTAAGCCAGATGCTAAAGCTCTTGGTAATTACCTTCACTGTTGTCCTTTTAGTTTAATGAGGAAGCTAGCAGCTGTCAGCTCTTACGCCCTCTGACAGAACTATCTTTGGCTATTCCGTCCCTCATATTGCTACGGGTTGTTGACTTCCCCTGCCATTTCCCTACTTCCACTTTCTCTAGAAATGAATTTTGGCCACTTTTCAAATGGTCAAACTTAGATGGGTCTATTCTTCTTTTTCCATGGAGAACAATTCTCTCTCTCTCTTTTTCTCTCTCTCCCTCCATCTCTCTTTTTGCTACTACAATGTAACTGTTCACAAATACAATATTGCCTTTTGGAAATATCACATTGAGCAATTATTGCCCCGATACAAGTTCCCCATCTCTGACACAAGTGCTTCTCTCACACACAAATATAAGTGAAAATTCTAACCATTCATTTCTAGTACCTTTGCTGGTACTTTCCAGATTTGAAGTCTATGTTTTATTTTTGTTGATTTACTCTCTGCAGTATTACAAAATATGCTTATAGTAGTTTTCATCATGGATGTGAAGTTGCAGAGCTCTCTGTGTGCATGATTTAATTGAACTATATATATTATCGGAAGAAAGGAAGGAAGGAAGGAAGGAAGTAAGTCAGTCGTTAAATTCCTCAAGATATATTTTGTTGCATAGTACCATTGAAATCAATGGCTCAAGTTATAATTCATTATAAAAGTTCAGGTAAGATATGTAGTAAATAAATAGCCTATAACTGGTACAATGTGCAGATATATCTTCAAATATGTAAATATTCAGTAGAATTTTGAAATGTGTATGTTTATAGAGAGTAGTCTGTAGTTTTGTTTTCTAACAACTATGATCTTTTGACCATTTCTGGTTGGATGCATTTTTATTAGACAAACACAGTGTTATAATGAAGACATGTTTTTGTGGAAGCAGTGAATTGAGAATATTTTATTGAGATTTTTCTCATCTGAAAAACTGCAAGAGAAAAACACTTCTGGCTGAATAATATTTCTGTCTGATATGTACAGTTCACATTCCCCCCAGTGAGATTAGAGACTAATTAGTATGGCATGTCATTAATTTGCCATTAACAATCATGAACAGATTTATTAAGTTTTGAATATTCTACAATCAAGTAAAATATAGATGTATTACTGATATTGGAACAATATATTAAGATATAGTAAGATAAGTTACTATTATGTTGTTATCTCAGGGTTGTTTTCAGGAAAACCAATATAATTATATACTAGTAGAAATTATAATTCAACTGCCTATGCATTAAGTTATGTAAATGCTGTAAACAGTATTTCTGTCTTGCTTTTTATTCTAAAAATGCAAAGTAGTTCACATATAATAAAACAATTTTGAGATGAAATGCAACTACTGTATAAATGCTACATATGCCTGATGATTTCCAAGTAAGAATAAAGCTCAATTGCTCCCCGATAGTCAAGATAGACTGCATAAAAATGGAGTTGGGGGTTGAGGATGGATGCCATATAAAACCTAATAAATGAGGATATGACATATGCAAATCCATATCTCCCTGGACCGAGAATTTAAGAAAGGAAAGATAGATTATATAAATGTTCTGAAGATACTCATATTTCATTACAGTACCAGCTTTACCCTTGCCTGATGTCACAGATTTATAGGTCAAATTTAAAAACTTATATTGTACAGTACCAAAGCCCTAGGCCTGGTGTCAGTGGTGAAGTTAGAATAGATGATAGGGTGCCCTTTTGTTTTTTAGTGTGCAACTTCCACAATTTCTGTTACCAGGCTAAGTTTAGTTGAAGAGAGTTGGACATTTTGACTTTGGAAACTAGCCAGGAACTACTCATGCTATGTTTGAAAACTACGTCCTTCATTTTCCTCTTTTTATGGGAAAGGATTGATCTAGGCTAGCTCTCCTCCAGCTCTGAATTGAGCAAGAGAAGAAACTAAGCATTTGTTTTTTATTATTCTTTTAAAAAAAGGAAGGATGAAAGAAAGGCGTGTGCATTCCAAGACACCCATTCCTTATCTTTTTTCTAAGGAACAGCATTGAATTGGGTAAGAGATGATTTCTAATGGAGTCTCCATTTACATAAAACAGATTAAGCAACAAAAGATACTTTTCTTGAAGCCCAAATCAGATGCATTTTATTAAAAGGAAGGAAGAAGATAATTTTTTGGATTGTGACAAGTATAGAGAAGTTAACTCTTGAAATCCTGAAGAAATTCCTTCTGTGAAAATGCTATTTAAATAGGATGGAAATACTAGGAGGAATAGGTGAAATTGTATTTTATGTTTGTTTTTACGATTTCTCTCATCAGTTGCATTTTAAAAAGTCTTTAAAGGCAAAGATTGGTATATCTAATTAGGACTGAGTTTAACAAATTATCATTCTTAAGAACCCATCACTTTCTATATGACACTATTTATAAGCACTGATGAATACTTTGCTCTTTTTGATTGACATTTTATGTTGGGTTGTA